ATGCCCTTAAGGAGATGGGTACTAATAAATACTGATAATAGTAACTATATATACGTGCACATAGGTGCCAGGAGACAAAGGATGCTGTGAAGAAAAATAGAGCAAGCTGAAGGATTAAACCCTGAAGGTCATTGTGTCATTTTATGTCTCATGTTAGGGATAGACTTTCCTTCGTAGGTGATATTTATTCAAAGGCCAAAACAAAAATAAAACATTTAGCTGGAGAAAATGTGTCACTAGGGGAATGGAAAGCATAAAGCCCGTGACATGAGACATATTGGGAAGTTCAAAGATGAGAGAAGAGACCATGATAGCTTTAGGGCAGTAAGGCAGATATGGGCAATAGGCACCAGAAAGGGTCTAGACATCTATGCTTAGGCTGTGAATTTTCATCAAGATTTAAGTCTTACTCTGAGTCCATGGGAAGCCTTTTCATGGAACACTGACAACATTAGATCCAGGTTGCCCTGGCTGTTGGGTGGTGATGAAGGGGATATCATATGTGCAGGATGAATGAGAGAAGTTCCAGTGACATGCTTAGATCCTCCACTCCCATTCCACCAGGAGCTACTGGGGTAGCTGATCACTTCCCAGACTCTACATTATTTTGCTCACAATTAGAAACATTGTAATTATGCACCATGGCACACCGAGAAACTGCTGCATGGGGAGGGGAGTCTTTATCACTAGGCTTAATTTTGTCCAGCTCTCTCCTCCCTCTTTTTTTCCTTCCTTCCTTTGTCTGTCTTTCTCTGCCTCCTTCCTTCTCCCTCCCTCCCTCTCTCCCTACTTCCCTCCCTGCCTCTCTCCCTCCCTCCTTCCTGTTTCCTGTTAGTCTTCCTCCTTCTCTAACTTCTTTCTTATTTTGTCATACTCTTTCCTCTTCCTTTCCTCCCTGCTCTCCACTTTCTTCTTCCCTTTCCCATGTTTTAAAATGTTAAATAGTTAGATATTGTTTATCATAAAATTATGTTAGAAAGTGACTGGACTCTGATTGGAATCTTTAGCATCTGCTCTGCCAAATGATATAGAAAGTGATTAAAGGAAATTGTTCTCAACTAAATAGTGCAGAAAAAGAATCAACCTTGGTTTCCACAGTGTGCACATTACGTAAATGAAGGAGTGGTGATGGTTATCATTGCTAAAGACTGAAATATCTTCACACAGAGAGGTGTAGAGATTGATCTTTGACATGCGCTGAGTTACTCAAGTGGAGATGCTGATACACGAGTTTCACTTAAAGAAAAGAAGACTAGATTGGATTGTAAATCCCAATTAGGAACAGTCTTTAAAGAGACCAGACTCTCCTTGTTCCCTCTAATTGAAATGGGGGCCAAAGACATCAGGTTCTCAAAGTTCTTATGGAAAACAAGGAGGCACTGTCCACACTGCTATTGGCTTTTCTCGAGATCAAGACAGACATTCTTTTGTTGCTTTTTTACTTTTAATTTAATTTTAATTTTACTTTGGGTTTCATTTGAGACTGAGTTTCACATTGTAGCTCATGCTGGCCTTGATTTACTCTGAAGCTCAGCCTGAGAATGAGCTCCTAGCAATTCTTCAGCCTCAGCTCCCAAGTGCTGGGGCTATAGATGTGATATGAGCAGCTATGCCTGGATTCTTGATACATTATTCCTAAGAGAATTATAGCAAGGAAATAAAGTTTTCTCTAGACTGAAACCTCTTCTTGATATCTCCCAGGTGTAGTTCGGGCAGCACATGCTTTCTGAAACCAAACCAGCCATAGTACCATCGTTCATGATGTGGCCCCAGAGCACAAGGATTGAGTATCAAAATTAAGTGGGTACATTTCAAAATATAACTCTCACACTCAAAATCAGGCATAGTAAATAATAAGAGTAGCCATGGTCCTGGGATCCTCATTTTGACTCATTGTTTAAATGGTTCATTCCATTAATCTACATAAATGATTTGGTATTATGTTGTAGTGTTTCAATATAAATTATTTTCTATACATTTTAAAGGGTATTCCAGCACAAAATAAGTTTAGCGATTGCTCATACAGTGCATGCATTTAAATTGCCCTGCTTAAATTCTAGGTTGTTGGCATTAGAATAGATTTAATTTCAGTCAAATAGACTTTTAGTATCATTTAAATAATAGGGTCAAATTTAATCATTCTGCTTTTATTAAAAAAGTACAATTTCAGGACACACCACAACTTCGGGATAAACTACTCAAAACAGAAAAAAAATCTTAAATTGAGAATAATAAATTACAAAGTACTTAAAGTATCAAGTGTTTGTGATTTTCTATTTAGGGCATATGAGAAAAATGTGTTCCATTTCCTAGCCCTCTAATGATTTAAATAGAATAAGAAATGGTTGTGGCCAAGCAGGCATGGTACGTTAGCCAGAACATTTGGTTTCCAAGGTTCCTTCTAGTTTGACTCTTTTTCCGTAGTTAACATGGCAGCTCCCCTGCTATCCTGCTTGCCCAGGCTGCTATGATTAGTAATACTTTCATGCCAGGCCATAATGGTCATTTAGAGTGAGGGAGAAATACTTTTTGTAACTTTAGCTTGTAGATTCCAGGGCATCACGCAAAGAATCCCTCCACTCATTAGGTTCCCTGACAAAGTGGAGCACCTGAGTCTGTGTGGTCATCTTTTCCATTAAGCAGGCAGATAATTTTCCTTTTCTTTTGTTTTACTCCTTCAACAAATTGTGCATACTTGTTGATATTCTGACCCATGACACTAGAGTTAGGAGTTATTTGCACTTTTTCATACAGTTCACTACCAGGTAGTTTAATAAAATAAAATGAATAACAAAAATACCTTAAAATGAAGCTGTAAACCAATTGCTGCAAGAGTAGAGGTGTTTTTTTTATTAATCACACCAAAACAAAATACATAATAGTAGTAATTTGGTGGATGTTTCTATTCCGTACTTTGAGAACTGTGGTCATATGTGTTTGAAGTATGCTTCACTGCAGAGGAAGTTAATTGGGGCTGCTGGCAGTTAACAGATAAATTATATCTGTTGGAATCATAGCTATAATAAAAAGTGGATCAGTGATTAGTGCTCCATAGAGATATTAAAGATATTAAGGATAAACTTATATGCTAAAGTTTCTACTGAAATGAACTGCCTTTACATGAGTTACAGGGAACCAAGTCAGTTCATTTTAGTATTACATATACAAATATTTTTGATCTGCTTAATGATGGAAGCTAATAGTAAATATTGATAATAAAATCATTGTACTGTTAACAATCAAGTACAAATACATTTGCATTTATTGAATAAAATGCTATAAGTTTATTGTTTTGTATCCCACAAAGGACACATGGGGAAATTACTCAAAATTCTTTGGTTGACTGTTAGTGGATATAATTTCCTTTTAAAAGGTCCTTAAGTAGAAACTTCAGCCACAGTACGTGTGTGGAGGGCAGAGGTTATGTTTGTGGCATGCGCATGCTTGCACTCATGCAATCACACCTTGCAAGCTCTTACATGTTCACACAATAGCAATAAAGATAAAAAATTAAAGAAATTATTCACTCACAGAACAAACATAGTATGTACATATATGCATGTCGATATAATTGATCTGTTTACGTACTTTAAATAAAAAAATCAGACCATATCAGCTTCACATGAAAACTTTGAAACATCAGGTTATAATTTTCCATTCTGCTTTTCTGTATTTTCATGGTCTGGACGCTAGCCTTACTTAATGTTTGAGTTTCCAAATATTATGCCAAACTCTGGATGAATTAGGTCAACAGAGAAAAGTATGCTTTCTAGTGCTCATATTAACATTCTTCTGTTTGAAAAACTGCACTAGCCATCAATCATCTTGTTAATACTTGCCACTTGGAACAGAGTTTGAATGTGATCTGTAAAACCCCCAAATCTTCACCTAATTTAAAATAATCCCACTTTGTATTATGCATAAATAATTTTGGATGGATATGACAGAAAATGAGAGTGGAAAGAAATGAGGTATCAAAAATCATATAAAAAGATTTGTTTTTAAGAGTTGAAAATACATTTGAAAGAGTAGATTTAAGATTACAACCTAATCCATTTGATTTTCATGTTTTTAAAGTAGCTTTTCATTAGTAAAACCTGTGACTGAGAAAATATTTATATATTTATAGACTGAACACATCTGATGGGAGATGTCCCTCTATGTGCTGTAGATATGTATTTCTCTTATTGGTTGATGAATAAAACTGTTTTCATCAGTGGACAGGCAGGATGTAGCCAGGAATGAAGTATAGTTGAGGCTACCAGAAAAGGAGTACTCTGGGAAGAGGGAGTCAGAGAGTGAGTAGCGAGAGGGATGCCTTGTAGCTGCCAAGTAAGCAGGAGCCTGGGCATCTCTGGTAATCCAAGACTCTGTGGAGAATACAGGTTAATAGAAATGGGTTAGTAAGTAAGAGAGAGATAGCCAAGGAGAAACCTGAGCCATCAGCCAAACAATTTATGATTTATGTAAGCCTCTGTATGTTTATTTGTTACTAAATGGCAGAGGGATCTACCTGTCCGGACAGAAACTTCCATTTACACATATCAATGACAGAATTTTGTGCATTTGTCAACAGGCCAATAATTCATCTCTAAAATAATTTTATCACTTAATAAACAACAATACTCATGGTAACAACCGTACAGTTTGCCTTCATAGAAACCTAACTATGGTGGACTCACTTTAATACTCTAAATGATTTATATTCCTATAATTTGGAGTTTATGAATTGCATATTTTTAGACTAAAGAAAAGCCAAGTATTTCAAATTGATTATTAGTAGTAAAGAACCTTTTTTATCCATTTTGCATCTATAATTATATTCAGGTTGTTTCATCTGTCAGGTGTTCAAAGTGGAATTTTTAACTCTATTTAGAATTTTATTTCAGTAAGGATGCTTGCATTTTAAGCCCTCTTTGAGAATAAATGTGAATGATTTAAATACTAGTTCAGGAGATTTTTAAGACTGGTAATACTTTAATGCATTTTTTTCCTTTCAGATACTGGTTATTAAGGTGACATTATGAAAGGATAACTCCAAAACTAATGGTAAGTCTTAAATAATTGCTAACTCTACAATTTAATGTTGTAATTCAATGTACCATATTCCCTATTGGGTTTCTATTTCCAGTCTAACTTTATAGATCTATATAGGGTGTAAGATTTGAAGCAGATCCTTAGATTGTAAGGTATTTATGGCAAGGCAAAACATTTCAACTCAACTTTTCTACATAATAGTTTTGGAATATGGCTACCTGTAGTGCAGTCCTATTTCTGAAAAACATCAATAACAATAATTATTTTCCCATTCAATGTCCATTTTCCCTGAAAGGTTATTTTCCTTTTGGAATAAATGATTTCAGTTGCAGTGATAGTTCAGCAAATTCAGTGTATTATTTCCCTGTACTGTGCTGAAAATAATAATATTAATGCTGGACTTAAAGATGGTTAGGGAGAAGATCTACTAATTAAACTTTATAAAATTTGATGATACCAGTTCTCTGTGTATTGATATTAGGAGATTCTTCTTAGCTGCAATAAGATGCTTACAGCTGTTCTTCATACATGTCTATATGCTTATTATTGTAATAAAAATTACAAAAAATTTAAATTTTCCACAAGCTTTCTTCAGGCATAGACAGATGAATGGAAGACAGACAGACAGACAGATAGATAAAAGATAGATAGATAGGTAAATAGAGGATAGATAGATAGATAGGTAGATAGATAGGTAATTGCTAGGGAAGGAGATAGAGATATGGGAATGGAAGGAGAGAGGGTAGGAGAAAGTGAGGGAGAGAGACATAGAAGAGATAGCATCTCAGGGGCAGTAAATGGTAAAAATATTGCAAATTTTATTGGTGCTGGGAAATAAAATTAGTGCTTTACATATGCTATCAAGTACTCTACCAGTGAACTGTATTCCCAGACCAAATATTGAACATTTTCTTCTTAATCATTAAAATAATTTAAAATGTATGTTTTGGTTGAATTGACCTCTACTTTCATAATGTTGTTTTATTTAAACAAAATTATAGCCACTTGTAACATTAAAATGTCCCTTTCATTCATAAAATTTGTTACCAAAGTGTATACTTAATGATTTTCTTAAAAAAGGAAAACAATATCAAACCACAGACAGTAAATTTAGATTTATGGACATGTGTATGTATTTGTATATTTATTAAACAAATACTATATTAATATGTACTAGCATATCATTAATTATTTTATTGTTATGTAATTTCATACTATGTCCAACATAAACTGGAATAATTTTAAATGAAAATGAATCATACAAGCATATGTAAGTATATCACATAAGCCTGAATAATTAAATATATAGAGACATATGGTATATAAATGCATAAATAATCCTTGATAAAACTCAAAATAGATATGTATGAAGAAAAAGTCATAGTACAAGCCAGTTCATCTTTTGGTCATCTTTATGCTGGGGAAGCCAGTGACAGAATATGGCATATGTCCCTTTGTGTCAATACTGTGGAGGCCTCCCTTCTGTGCTCAGAAAGCAAGATGTAAGTTCATACATCTTTGTGGTCAGGAAGGTGTGCATTTGCTCATGTGTGGTTTGTTTTTGCTGGTAGAACCTTCAATGCATTTCAGCCTAGTTTTCATAATGGTTTTGCAGAATAATATGTACACACAGACTTCATAATAATCATCTACTGCAAGTCCTTCTGCCACGTAAAGTAGAAAAATGGCATTGCACAGCCAACCTCATGGATGTTTTAATTCTATGTGTAATAGCCACCAGGAAATGCCTGATGTCTGTAGTAAGTCAAGGAGTTAGGAATCAAGTTACTCTGGCGAGTATTTCGTCACTGCTGTGTGGTTCAGTGTGACGGATATGTAAAACACCTCTTTGCTGCCTATAGTAGGAGCACGTGGTGCTTTGCTTTGGTGGGAAGTTGCATTCTCACACTTAGCTGTCACCACAAAGGAATAAGCTAGAGAAACAGTTTCATAATCTTCTTCCTCTGGCTCAAGAGGGATTCTAGACTGAGGACAGTGATGATGTGTGGAATCAGAGCAAAAACAAACCAATCCAAGGGGTTACCAAAAGGAATAAAATTCAAGGAAACTAAGATAAAAGCATAAACAATATTGCCTAGTAAAGGACATCAAAAATACTGCTTAGATCAATATGTCATAAGAAATGAATCTGTATTTAGTATTAACATATTATCAATGCATTGTATTACACATTCAGTCACTGCAAATCTGGAATGGTATTATAGTGATATTTAGTCCTTTTGTATTTATATATTTCACAAAAATATGTTGATGATTTGTACCCATCATACTATGCATTCATTTACCTTTATTTTCGTAAATTTTCCATACAAAAAAGCATATAATCTTTCAAAATTTAAATTCTAAAACAGTAGTGTAACTACGGTAGATAGAGTATCTGTAAGTTTTAGAGGACTGTGTGCCTGTGTGTGTAAAGGGGTGGGGTTCATTCAGTTAGCTTTGAGCCTAAATCCAAGGCAAGACATGCGGATCAAGCAGACTCAGATCCACTGAAGCATGAAGACAATGTTGACATGAATGAGCCTCTTTAAGCCATCAATATTTATTAAACACTGTAAACCAAGTTCTTTTCCTAAACACTAAGGTGGTAGCAGTGAATACAAGTCCAGGAAACAAGCTCTTACATATAAGTGGTAGGAGAAGAGAACATGTTGAGAGAACAGATATTAAATAAGAAAAAAATAAACAAATATTTTTGATAAAATTGAGTATGTGAAGAAAATAAATAATGTTGGATAGGAGGGTTGGGCAAGAATTTTTAAATTCATATTAGCTGAGAAGAGACCTGAAAATCTAATGAGGATATATCAGTTACCCTGGAAGGAACATTCCAGGCAGAGCAAAAAGGCAGGGTTCACCTGCAAGTAGAGAATAATGCTATTTATTTGAGTGAAAGTGAGGCTCTGTTGTATCATGTCAAAACAATTTTTACTTCTTTTATACTACATTTATTCATTTCAGGTGTGTGTGTGTGTGTGTGTGTGTGTGTGTGTTTAAATGTGTGAGCAAATTGGTATCGTACCGAGCTTGGGGAAGTCATATAACTACTTGTAGGAATTGAGTTTCTCCTTCACTTTGTGGAATCAGAGGATCAAACTCAAGCCACTAGGCTTGGTGGCAAGCACCTTGACCTGTTGAGCCATTTTCTTAGCCCTGGAGTGTTGAACCCTAGCTAAAAGGGAAGCCATTTGAGGCACTTGAGCAAGGATATGAACTGAATTACATTTTCAAGGTTTCACTAAGGTAGATGGAAGAGCCTGAAGGAAGACTGAGAAGTTATTGCAGCCCTGCAGAAGAATGAACGTGTTTATAGTAGGTGCTTTTAAACAGAACGAACTCTAGTAAATGATTTAAAATTTATTGAACTTTTAAAACAGTATTTTTATTCTTTGAAATTTCATACACTTACATATTTTATATTGGTCACATCAATCTGCCACTGTCAATCTTCAACTTTTATATTGTACCCAACTGTGTCCTCCTTGACTTCATATTCTCCTTTTATAGTAATTATTATTGATTGTCCCTTGAGTTCAGTTAGTGCTATCCACATAAGAATAGGTGAGTGGCCATCCACCGGGACTACTGCCATATCCTTAAAGGACAAGGAATCTCCCTCCTTTGACAATCATCAGTAAGACCCTTTCCTCATCCACGATAGAATTTTGACTGATTTGATCATTGGCAGGAAACTAGAATTGCTGTGAGTTGATGTGTGCAACAGCCACTTGTTGTTTGTAGCTAAATTGTCCTATTACCAATAAAGACTCGGGAGTCAGATATTGGGGTAAACATCTGCTAGATCAAGGAAGCTGTGTAGGTGTCCTTCCCTCCACACTTCCCAGATTGAAGAGACTGCTGAATCTCCAAGTCCCTCCCTACTCCTTCCTGTGTGTCTTCTCTATCCATATTTCTGGCTTCTCTATGGCTCATTCTGGTCGGCTAGTTGCTGGCTCTGTCCCCTGATTCAATGTTAACTTTATTAACACAGTCTCGGGGTATTACAGTGTGATCAATTATTCTTCAGCAGTCATTTACAACAGAACTAGGTAAAGTATGGGATCCTTAGCACAGTATTGGCACGTGGTGAGTGCTGTACAAATGCGAGTTTTAGACTCTGCCTCTTCAGCCTCAATACTATCATTTTCTTTAACAAAGTTTTACTAGAAGCCTTCGGAAAAATGCCAGCACCTTTAAATGTTCTTGTTATAGTTACATGTTAAGCACTTGACTTGAGAGACCACAGTATTCCAGAATCTTTTAAGGATACATATGTTTAATGTCTTGTTCCTCAATAATGTTACATGATTTATAGTTAAAAGCTATTTCTAAAGTAATACCAAGTGTAAGAGTTGTATGTTTCTACTTTAAGACATAAGCTGTAGACATGCCTTGCCTCCTCTCACTTATCTTGTCTTCAAATATCTCCATTTAGTTTATTTTTCATAGCACAGGTCATCCTTGAAAATAGATATGTTCAATGTGCTGTTTTTTCTTATATATATTTTAATGCCCAGTCATCATTGATAAATATGAAATACACATATACAGAACTATTCATAACTGTGGCCATGGCCTTTGAAATTATTTTCTTAGAAATAAAGATAGATATTAAGCATTGTTTAAAATAATGCAAGTGTCAGTGATTACTTTGAAAAATAAAGATTTTTGCAAGAAATATTATGGACTGTACACCCATGTACTCATATAAGTTACCGTATGTTACTAAAAGTTTGCTTAGGCAATTACTATCATTAAATGCTAAGACAGATATAGAATAATATTTAGAAGTTAGAAACTAGTTTGTTGTGAGTTCAGGTGACAGATGCTAGATGCTTCTTCAGTTTTCTGAGAGCCAGTAACTTTTAAAAAGTTTTATGGAATACTTAGTTTAGAAGTGCTTTATTGTTGCTATCTTTATTATGGGTGTGATATTTTCATTTCTTTGGTTTTGTTTGCTTGCTGGTGTTTTGACCTGGAGAAGTGATACA